ATTCTATATTTTCAAATTGTCTATGTTAGGAACAGTGAGGAGTCTGGAATTTTATTCTATTTGCAAGCTACCAAGTTAGCCTGCCACAGTTTCATGAGGCTAGTAGAAGACACAAAACTCCTGGGTCAGAGACAGGACACTTCAGTGCACACAGCAGTGGCAGATTTCCCTAGATTTAACCTACTGTTCTTTTTTTTCCCCAGAGTCCCATCCAGGAAACCTCATTACATTTAGTTGTCATGTTTCCTGAGGCTCCTTTTGGATGCAACAGTTTCGTTTTTAAATGTTTTCCATCTCTTACTATTTTACTTTAATTTTTAAAAACTACTTCTTTGTGTATGTTATGTGTTTTTATTGGGAAATGTTTAATTTATTCTTCTATGTTGTTGAAATGGATGGAGTTGATGTCACTGTGTTCCCAATTTGATTTTTTTTGCCAGAGAATCAACTCTGACTTTTGAAACGAGAGAAAGACAGTTTCATGTGAGAAGCTGAGAGACCTGCAAGAATTCACTCACACAGACAGAATCAAAAGAATAAATGTAATTTTTTAGGGAGGCAGAAGTTTATTTTACCCATTTTTATGTGCCACAATTGATCTGCCAAGCTAGTCAGCATGCAGCCACCTTTAATATCTTGTTCTGTGTTCTCTTCTGATATTCTAGACTTAATATTTATATCTGAATTAGTAAAATGCAAAGAATAGTTAACACCACAAAATCACAATGTATCTTCAGCTCTTTCTCCAATGTAAAGCTGCATCTGCATTATAAATCCATTACACTGTCATAAAAGACAATTCAAGTAAGAAATGTCTCTGTAAGACACTGAGATCTATGGTAGTTTTTTGTTGTTGTTGTTTTGTTTTGTTTTTTGTGGCAATGCATTAACAGCATCAATAAAATAAGAGTATTGGAAGTGAGAAAAAATGTGGTGTCAAGAATAACTTTTAAATGACTGAAAAATTGTGCTGAACACTGGAATTTGACACAACACTGTAAAATGATTATGAATCAATAAAAAATGTAAAAAAAAAAAAGAATAACTTTTAGGTTTCTACCTTTAGCAGCTGGATGATCACTTTGAATTCAACAAATTCTAATGATACATCTCCAGCCACTTAGTACGAATTAAATAGTTAGTGATCTAAGGGAGTAGTTTATGTAAAAGTTTAACTCATCTATCTTGCTCAGAAATTGCTGAGTTTTTTTCAGTCCAAAAAGTATTTCAATGCAGTTACAAGTAGAGCCTAGAAAGCCTCATTCAGTGAAATAAAAGGTGATATAACAATCCAGGAAAACTCTCACTTGATGGAGGAGTTGGGGCTGAGGAACTAAATGCACCAGAATTTGGAGGACATGGAAAGACTGGTGTTCACATCTGTCCTACAACCCTATCATCTGGAACTCACTAGCATCCCTAATCAATCAGCTGTCTTGTCTCCAAACAGTCACATAAATCATCTTCTGGAACCCAGAATTCTAAATATCATCATCACACCATTCTTCTGTGTCAGAGCCTGGTGCCTACCTACTTTAATTCATTTATTCTTTCAAAAAGTGTTAATTGACTAGTCTATATAGGTCATGCCTTGAAGAATCCTGGTACTTTTCGGTTTCTTACCTCTGTCTAAAACCCTGAATCATATCCTATGGGTATATGCTGTCATTTCTAGGCTAGGAAAATGTTAATGTAAACAATTAGGTACTAATAATACTGACTGGGGACTGGAGTTCCTGGAATTCCCCCAGGTTTTTAGAGTCCTCATTTTTTTCAGAGTTCCCACCACCCCCTGAGAAAACCAAGAGATAAAAGGTTATGCCATCCAGGTGTGTCTGTCTTTCCTGGCTGGAATTAAATTTCTTTCTTCCCATGCCTCACCTTCCTTTCTGTCTTCGTGTATGTCCTCCTCAATTGTGTTATGTTCTATCCTGCATCTCTGTGTTCTCATCCTTGGCGCTATCCTCTACAAGCTCTCTACTGGCTTTCTAACCCAGCACTAACCTCAAAATCAGGTGTCTGTGAGTATTATCTGAGTGTGGTGATGATGGCGACGGTGGTACAAGTTTGGGGAGGCAGAATGGGAAAGATCCAGGTAGCGTAAAGGGTCCTGTGATAGGCAGAATAGTGAATGGTCCCTCAAACACATGCACATTCTAATCCCTGGAACCTGGGCATATGTTATAAGTCAAAGAAGATTTATGGTTGATAATCAGCTGACTTTAAAATAGGGGGATTATAGTGGATTATCTCAATCATTTATGAAGGATAGCTACGTACCTAGGAAAGAGAGTCTAAGAGAATAAGTAGGAGAATAATGCAGAGCTCAATATAACTATCTGATAGCTTCTTGTGTAACAATTAAGGGCCGTGATTGTACAGAGGAGTAGACTGTGTGGTTCAGCTATACTAAAGAACATTTCTTGTAGACATTAGCACTTGAAGAGACCAGGAGTAATAAGTAGAATTTCAACATGTTGAAAGAAGACAAGGTTGCATTTCTGGAAAAGACAGCAGTACACTCAATTAAAGGTAGGAGTGATGGAGAAATATAGAGAGGCCTATATAGATGCGTTTTAGGGAGCAGTGTAAGACGCAGTCACATAGGTAGATCTAATGTATTAAGGAAAGTACCGACTGCCAAACTCACATATTCTGTAGTCATGATGAGTGTGATTACGCACTTTTAAACAAGGTTGCCAATGTCTTGATAACATCATGTTTTCGAGAGAGCAATATGGCAGCAAAAGATGAAGAAAAGACTTTCAAAACAATGGAAGAACGTAAATTCTTATTCTGTGATTCCAATTAGTGATTAAGATGACTTGAGTAGGTGAGGAAGTGGAGAAAAAAGGGAATAAGTGATCAAACAGAGATTTCAGACAAGGATCCTATGAGCTGGCAGATAAGATACAGTGACTGAAGAAGAAAAAAGAGTCACAGTGAACCCTCAGTTTCCTGCTCCAGCAGTGGGAGGATGATGCAATCATAAAGTAGGGTAGCTGGTCAGGAGGTTAGCAGGTGTAAGAAGATACTGAGACTTGGATAATGATGTGTTAGTTGACCGAATATTTAGATGAAGATTTTCCTCCAGATACTGAAGAAGCAGGGGCAAGTAGGCAGTAGTAGATTTACTCAACAGAATCCTAATGATACATTGGTTTTATTTTTATTTTTTACATTTTGGTTGGGGGAGGTAATTAGATTTTATTTATTTATTTTTCAGAGGAGGTAGTGGGGATTGAACCCAGCACCTTGTGCATACTAGGCATGCGCTCTACCACTTGAGCTATACCCTCATCTGATACATTAGTTTTAAAACAATGCAGATTTGCTAATTTGCACATGGTTCCTGTTATTTCTTTGAATGGATACCTCAGCGAAGATATTACTGAGACTCATGGTGTAGGGTAGATAGTCAATATTTACATCTTTGAGAAATCTCAGACTGAGTTACTTGGTAAGGGCAGGACAATCTTGAAATTTTAACTGACAACCAAGGGCCAATATGTTCGTAGGTCATGAATCTGTTGGGACTTGGTCCTAATATAGTAATAATACAGTTATGGTGATATCCATAGATGAGGAATAATTGGTTTAATTGAGGTCTCTTGGCAGCTTTTGGAAAATGCTGTAGTGGTTGTGACAAGAGGTAGGTTACATTTTCCCTAGTTTTTGTTAGGTGATCGTGATAGAAAGGGAGGATCCTAGTTATGGAAAAGACTGAAAGGGAATTCATGGGCTGTCTGTCCCTGGAGTCAACTGTGATATTTTGTCCTCAGGGAATGACAGTCAACATGATGGTCACGTTGAATTCAACAAATTTTAATCCAGACCTCTTCATTTTGGTGGGCATCCCGGGGCTGGAGCAGTTCCATATTTGGATTGGGATTCCTTTCTTCGCTGTCTACCTTGTGGCCCTGGCAAGTAACGGCATCCTTCTCTACCTCATCACTGTGGACCACAGCCTCCATGAACCCATGTTCTTCTTCCTCTCAATGTTGGCCTCTGCAGACCTCATATTATCTACCACATGTGTTCCCAAAACACTTGGCATATTCTGGTTGAAAGCTCAAGAAATCACATTTGCTGGGTGCCTCACTCAGTTGTTCTTTCTCCACTTCAGCTTTTTTCTGGACTCAGCCATCTTGTTGGCCATGGCATTTGATCGTTACATGGCCATTTGCTCCCCTTTGAGATACACCAGCCTCTTGACACCAAGGACAATTGTCAAGATCATGGTGGGCATTGTTGGTCGGAGCTTTAGTGTCATTTTGCCAGTCGTGTTCCTGGTGAAGCGTTTGCCTTTCTGCAGGACACGTATCATCCCTCACACATACTGTGAGCATATAGGGGTGGCCCGACTCGCTTGTGCTGATATCTCCATCAATATCTGGTATGGCTTTGCCGTGCCTGTAATGACTGTTATCTCAGACCTGATCTTCATTGGCATCTCCTACACTCTTATCCTTCATGCTGTTTTCCATCTTCCATCCAGAGATGCCCGCCAGAAAGCCCTCAGCACCTGTGGTTCTCATGTCAGTGTCATCCTCATATTCTACACACCAGCCATGTTCTCTGTCCTTGCTCATCGCTTTGGCCACAATATCTCTCATACCTTTCACATCATGTTTGCCAACCTCTATGTAGCCATCCCTCCCGCCCTCAATCCCATCATTTATGGTGTCAAAACAAAGCAGATCAGAGACAAGGTCATCTTTCTATTCTTTCCTAAAGATATGCAGTGACCTGGGGATAAGAACATGGGTGAGGAGAAAAATTGTGGGAAGTCAAGTAATCACACTGATTCAATAGAATTTCTTTTGTAAATAAGTAGCAGGAAGCCTCAATAATGGATCCAATTCCTATGAATTTCAAGGCCTCAATTCTGTTAGAGAAAATTATTGGTAAAATTAGAGGGAGAAAGGTAAGGATTCCAGGACCAAGAAAGTGATAGGCATCAGATGGAAGGCTCCTAATTTTCTACAATAAAAATGTCAAAGCACAACATTTTTACTCTTTCTTTGATTCTTTTATCCTGGTTCAGTTTCCTCTTTTTAAAATAAAAGAAAAGATCGTACTTAATTTATAGGCTTATTGTGAGATTAAATTTGTTTAACACAAAGTAAGCTCATAAGTTCAATAACCATCTGGATGAGAAAAACTTCCAAGTCTAAAGAACGGGCTCTACTTTCTACAGAATTAATTAGGGATGGCCCAGACTATATGAATCCCTTATTTCAAAAGTAAACAGGTTCTTAAAAATCCACGTATTTGCAGACGTAAAAATTACTATTTGCATTTGAAATAATGTTTTCTCTGCCTAGCATGTTTCTATTCCCATGATGTTCCTTGAAAACACCTATTTTTCCTTCAAAACTCAGCTGTGATGTAAGAGTCGTGACTAGCTTGCCCTGTCCCCAGATGATGTCAGTACCCTCCCCTGTGTCCTCATGGCCCCTTGTGTTTCGTAAAGACAGATCTCTTGTCACTCTGTACTGGAATTGCCTGCTTCCTTATGTGTTTTCCCACACTAATCTGTGACATCCTTGAAGGCAGTGAACATGTCTTAGCCACATCTGCAGCCACAGCACCTGTTACACAGTAAAGTAAAATCGAATTAAAAAAATGGGTTTTCACGTAATCCCAAACAATGTGCAAAGTACCGTTCACACAGCATCCCAATCAATCCTCAAACCTTGTGTGATAGGTAAGAACTCCATGAACACACGAGGAAACTGAAGCTTGGATGATTTGCTAAATTTCTCAATTCCATCCAAAGGTGGAGTTGGTAAATTGCAGCCAGCAGTCGGTGTTTGGCCTCAAGCCTTTTCCCCTTGATTCCGCTTATGTGCTTCCTGTAGATGCCTTAACAAATGTAGGTTGGATGAATACACAAATGAATGAATGGTAAACTAGGGCAAGGAATATGCTGTTAAGCTGAATATCATCTTTCAACACAATTCCTTGGAAAGTCTATTTACTTACTAAAAAAGGCTTTTGTTGCTGGTAACATTTTTAAGTATATGAACCACAAACAAACAAACAAAATACTACCTGTTCCTAAGGTGCTTGTATTCACATCTTCCTCCTTCTTGCCTAAGGGCCTTTGCACATTCTTTTCTTTGTGACTGGAATCTCTCTCTCTCTCTCTCTCTCTCTTTTATTTTTTTAAGCCTGCTGGAGAGAATGTAGCATAATGTGAAGCAGAGTTAGCAATTCTTTACTTCACAGCTGAACAATTTGGATTGACTTTCTATGTATCATTTGTCGTATCTGCGATATAGAAACAATAAGGATATTATTGATTTGGAAGGAAGTAAGGACTAAATCCAATAATGCTTCTGAAGGGTTTGGCTCTGTAACTGACAGATAGCAAGAGCCCCAAAAAACATTTCTATTTGATTAGCTTTTAGTTAAAATTATCTTCATCTTTCAAATATTTTCCTCAAGGAATCTTTTCCTATCATCCCCAGGCCTGATCAGATACCTTTGTCATTTACTCTTAAACACTCTACAGATTTTCATAACAGTTATCAAAGGTAGTGATTATTTTTTCACTTATAGTCTGTTGAATATTTGAATAATGCATGCCTTCCTCAAAGGATTGAATATTCCACGAGGAGAGGCATTATGTCTGATTCACTTTTCACTATATTACTGATGTCTGTCATGGTGTTTTGTTCCTACTGAGTGTTCATTGTATCTGTATTGAATGATTCAAGTTCTGCATGCATGAATGCATGGTTGATTGCCTGCCTACCTCAGCAATTTTGTTTCTCAGCACTTCACTAAATGTGCGCATGGCTCTACTAAATGACACACATTTCCCAAACGCATCATATCCTCTGATACTGCTAAGCCTTTGCACATGCTGGTCTCTTGGCTCAAAATACCTTTTCTGTGTTTTTCTTGAATCTTTATTCATCCTCAAGACTCATAGTAAGTGAACATAGTCCTCAAGATGGTCTCTGATCCCTAAGCTGTGGTATTAATACCCCTGCACTCAGTTTCCATGGACATCTCTGGATTACCTATGATTCTCATTCTGTATTGAAATTTTGTTCTACAAGTCTATTGACCTTAGAAATTTATGTCCGCAAGTAAATAGACTGTTATTTATCTCTGAATATTCAGAGTCCAGTTTGATGCCTAGTTTCCTGGGCCTGACATATTATTCCTAGTTTTAGTAAATACTTGTTGTGAAAAAGGAGTGATCTTGAAGTCCTTTTATAGCTACTCATAGTGCTTCCCATATTTCACACATACAGGATAGGGGACCTCTTCTGCTGAAGTAAGTTTCAAAGGGGGTTATTCAAATAGAATTATAGCGGATTGTCTTTAAGAAGCCTAAATGGCCAAGAACTGTATACCCTGCTTGACCTTTACTTCCTTATCCATGGGTAGGGCTATGAAATGATAACCTTCATTCCTCTTCATATTAGTTATCTATGCTGTGTAACAAATTACCTCTAAAGTTAGCAATTCAAACAAACAAAAACAACCATTTATTATCTAAAACAGTTTCTGCCTGACAGGAATTTAGGAGTGGCTACCTAGGTGGTTCTGTCTTGGGTCTCTCACTAGGTTGCAGTCAAGGTGTTACTGAGGTCACAAGCTTCAGAAGGGCTGGTGGGAGCTGCAGGGTCTACTTCCAAGGTGGTCACTTACATAGTGTTGTTCGTTGGTGAGAGGCTTCAATCCCTCCTCACACAAGCTGCTTGTCCTCATGTCATGGAGGCCAGCTGCTTCCAGATGGGGCAATTCAAGAGAAACAGCAAGAAGGAAGCTTCAATGCCTCTTATGGGCTGGTCTCAGAAGGGACACCCTGCTACACACACCACATGCTCTTTGTTAGAGGTGAATCACTAAGTTCAGCCTGTATGTACGAAAGGGGAGGGGAATTAAGCTCTACCTCTTGAAGATAACAGTATCACAAAGTTTGTGAACACTTTGTAAAACCACCATGCATCATTGTTAATAATCACTCAGGTTCTTTGTCTTTCTGATGTGTTATCACCTGACCTTGGGTGACACACACACACACACACACACACACACACACACACACACACAGCAGGGTATCAGCATTAAAATGCCCTGGGCTCTACATATGAACCGCAGTGCTTATACTATATTTGTCACCATTGATTCTAATCAGAACAACAATTGTTTCCTCAAAAATTGTATCTGAATACATAAAGCATTTATAGAAAACATGAATAAACCCCTCCCCAAAGACAAAAGTAAATTTTGGGCAGCTGTTAGAGTCCACAATTCCTTATTTTCTTCTCTACTAATCATGCTTGTCATGGGATATACACTTTTCTGAAAATTAGGGTGGAGGTAAAAGTTTGAACTGGGAGAAGACGACAAAATGTTACAGTAAAGATGAGGTTCTAATGTAAGGTATGCTTTTGTCGAATGATTCTAATGTGATCTGAGTTTTTGCTATCACCATAAGCTAAAAAGGGTTTCTTAAGATTTAACAATTCAGTATTATCTCTCCTTTTCTCTGTATTGTGCTGTAACTTCAGGAAGTTTTAGACCTTTTTTAGATGCATCAAGTAATATAAAGTTATTTTCTAATTGGCATTAGTAACTTCAATATATAAAAATGTTATATAAATAAATGTGATATAGATACATGATGATATTTCTACTACTAATAATAATTGAGGACATAGATTGAAAGCATAGTTTGTGGACAATAGTGAGCATTCAGAATGAGGTCCTCAACCCCAAGAAATTTGCCTTCTGAAGGTAGAGACAGAGAGCTACACAGATAATTGAAACATGGTGTGGTTAGTCCCCAGGCAAAGGGTAAACACAGGGGTGATTGAGGGATGACTTTCCAAATGAAGTGATGCTAGGTTCTAAGCTGAGTCAGACAGAAAAGAATAGGAAAGATGTTCTCTGAAAGAAGAAACAACATATGCAAATGTAAGATGCTTGCAAAATTACGTGTGTGTGAAAATCCAAAGAGATCAGTTGGAATGCAGGGTGTTTTGGAGATGAGTGGCAGGAGACAGAACTGAAGAGAAAGTTAAGGGCCTGAAATTGCTAGATCTTGTATGTTATGCTAATGGAGATTTATTTTATCCTAAAGACTCTGCAGAGATGACAATCATATATCTATTTTAGAAAGATTATTATGGCTTCGGAGGAGAGGGTAGATTGGTGGGGTGGAATTGAAATCTTTAGATCAGTAACAAGAATAGTTACTGAAGGAGGAAATGATGCAGGAGAATGGATGTGGGGCGTGAGGAGGATCGTGTCCCAGGATCCAGTTGAGCCCCTGGGACGTGCCCCACCAAGTGTGGGTCCTTGGCTTCGCACAGGAAAGAATTCAAGTGTGAGCCACCGTTGAGTAAAGGTAGATTTATTTAAAGAGACACAAACTGCATAGAGTGTAAGGCAAGAGAGAGGCAAGGAAAGGGGTGTGGGAATTGGGTGCTCAGGTTAAAGTAAAAGTAGGCACACACTCCATAGACAGAGTGCAGGCCGTCTCCAAAGGGGAGGGAGCGAAAAGGGCCACTAGGTGTGGTGGTGTCAGTTTTTATGAGCTCAGTAGCTTTACACCTTGCAGGTGGGATCATTCCAACTGCCCTGGGGAAGGGGTTGGGATTCCCAGGGATTGGGCCACCACCCTTTCTTTGGCCTTTTGCAGCTAGCTTTGAGACTATCATGGCACCTGCAGGTATGTTATTTATCAGGCTGTTATAATGAGCATATAATGAAGCTCAAG